GAATCAACTAATTTCAGAGTCTAATTTCAAAACAATGTGATTTCTGTGAGGAATTTAAAGTCATATTTATAAATGTTCAAAATTGTCAGTGCTAATACTAGTTAGCTAACTAACCTGAGCTAACGTGACGGAAATCGTGAGACAATTTTTCTGATATCCATAAAAGTTTGAGCTAGCTAGCTAACATGAGATAATGTGACAGGAATTCTTGAGGACTTTTTGTCATATTTATAATAGTTTAATCTTCAGTGCTACCACTAGCCAGCTGGCTATGAGCTAACCTGAGAGGATTTCTCAGAGGATTTGTAAATGCTAATAATCTTCACTATAATGTAACATGAGCTAACCTGACAGATTTTCTAATAAGATTTGTCATATTCATAATCGGCTATGAGCTTTCAACAGCAAAAAAAAAAAAAATGCCAGCTAGCTAACCTGAGATCACCTTACAGGAATTCTGAGAGGATTTTTTGTCATATTTATAATTGTTTACAATATTCCCTGCTAATACTAGCCAGCTAGCTAACCTGAGCTCACCCGACATGATATCTGAGAGGATTTTTGTCATATTTATAATTGTTTACAACATTAACTCCTAATACTATCCAACTAGCTAACCTCAGATCACCTAACAGGAATTTCTGGGAGGATTTTCTCATATTTATAATTGTTTACAATATTCCATGCTAATCCTAGCCAGCTAGCTAACCTGAGGCCACCTGATATGATATCTGAGAGGATTTTTGTCATATCCATAAATGTTCCCTGCTAATAGCTCACTAACTTGAGTTAAACTGAAAGGATATTTATAATATTGAGAGGATTTTTTTCCTGAGAAACGTTTATAATCTTCACTGCAAGCTAACAAAGAGCTTACCTGACCGGATTTCTGTGAAGATCTTTATCTTATTCAGATAAAGTTATCCAGATAGCTAACCTGACAGGATTCTGTCAGAATTTTAAATCAGTACGGGCTTAAAATCTGCTGATAGCCATTGTCTCTTTTAGAAAAACATGCCAAAATCCTAATAGAAAAGTCTGTCCACTCGGCGGCCATATTGGCGAACTGTTTTCAGTCATACAAGACCAGGCTACTATCTACTATATGCTACTATATACTATATGGGTCTGTCGCTACTCTACTCTACTCTGTCGGGAGACCCATATACCAGAAACAGATGACATTTAAACATGGATTTAAGAAAAATGGCATACATGACGCTTTTCCAGCTATCGTGCATGCACGTAAAGTGCCCTTTATATATCCAATGCGTCAGTGTAAGAATCTGACAGGCCAGGCTTTTTTTCGCTAACATCTTTTTACCAAAAAGACGGCTGACTTTTTTCAATGAAGGGCAGCATTTACGTAATACAGCAGCCATGCTGAGCATTACACTCTGCCCCATTCACATTTCAAGCAGTGACCTGTGTGTACTCATACTGTCTCTGGCCATGTTCATTGCCTCAAAAGTGAAAAATACAGGCAGAGAGAGAGAGAGAGAGAGAGAGAGAGAGAGACAGAGACATAGAGTGCTTTCTTTGCTGCCTGAAGACCATCCATTCTTATTACTCCAATAACATGTCTGTGACATGAAGTAAATCCTTCACTGATACCTAACAAGGAAAAATCACAATCCCTGCCTCCCTCCTGATAGATGTTATTTCAATATATAACTCTTTCAATAAATTAGACATAAATTATGGGACGGAAACAAAAAAATATTTTTCAAAACAACAAAAAATAATAAATGTAGTACTTTTAAGAATATTTCATAGAGAATACATTACATTGACATTATATATTTGTAAAGCTGATTTGTAAAAGCAGTTGGAATAAAAAGTAAGACATCATTTCTTTGACATATACATACACCCACACACACACATAAAACATTCATATAGTCATAAATAAGCAAAGCAATGTGATTTGAAGTGGCAGCTGAGGCTATGGGTTGCTTTAGGAGAATGAACCAGTTTTGAGACGAGTTTAGAAATGAAGCGAGGTGAAATCCAAGACAAACATTGTGTCCAGACAGTAAACACTGCAGTGCTCTAAATAACATTATCCAGTATTATAGACCTTCTGTTTTATACGTTCAGCGTTCTAAAGCAATAAAAACTGATTGTGTATGAGATATGGTGATTAGAAAGCTTTCAGGCCCATTCACTTAACAGGACATTTTAGGGACATTGTGTGTAAACTAATAGCCATGTGCATAGAGACACAGTCGCGGACTCGCATAAATGTCCATTATAGGGACGCAGCAGCTAAAAGGCCACCATTAGTGAGTGAGCATTTTACCCGTGTGACCCATGTGTGAGTGTGTGTGTGTGTGTGAAGCGCAACGTGATGAGCCATTAAAGATGCTTCCGAGGCAGGAAAGCTGCAGGATGCCCGGTGCTGTGTGTAAGCTGGATCACATCACTACACACCGCAGGAGGGCTGCACTCAAGTGCTCAGAGAGACTTATCCAAGGAGGCTGTTGTCATGGCACCCCTGATGGGGGGTTGGGAATTGAGTGAAAAGTGATGGCACATGTGTTTGATGTCGGTCACGTGGGCCTTGCGCAAGCACTGGCTGCTTTGTTCTGTCAGCATCACTCTGCTCAGTCACACTCGCGGCCCGTCACAGTGGGGGGAGGAACTGTATCGCAAAGCACATCAACATTCTGTCACACGCACTCGCTCCTCAGGAGACGCCTCGCTCCTTACGGGTGCCAGTTCTGCTCATCAGAAGAGATTTAAGCCCCAAATAGAACAGAGGGGGATTCAGTTTTCAGTTCCAGCACCTTCAGCCTTCAAATACACTCACACACTCATATACACTGGGCATGTAAACTAATGTACAAACCTGCTGCTGCAAAAACAACACCTATTCAAACTAATCTGCATGCAACATCCGCATCCTCTGTTAGAAAAGACACAGCTTATCCTGGGGCAGCTGGACTCAGTAAATCTGTTAAAAATATCCATTTTCATGGTAAATTCACATTCGTTCACGACTGCAGTAATGATAATACGGACCGCACCGAGAACCGTGATAATGGCGTCAATATCAGGAGTTAGTCATCAATAGACAACAACAGTTAATAAATGAAGTACTTTAGTTTTAAAAAATTAAAAAGTGTGCATATATTGTAGTGTAATTATATTATAATTACATATAATGTAATGTATTATATACGTACATTTATATTTTTATATAATTTAGGTTATATAGAATTATATGATGTATATACATTGTTATATAAATTTATAAAATATATATTATTTATTTATATGTAAAAAGTCACATAAAATTATTCAAATAAAGTTAGCATACTTATTATAATTAACATTTGTTAATAATTAACAGATAATCTAATAGTGTAATATACACTTCTTGAAGGAGTTCTACTTGGAACCCTTATTAATAGGAGAAAACAAACAGGAGAAAACCTTTAAAGTTCTTTAAGGGTTCTTTGGTTTGACCCTCTGTGGAAACCCTTAAAGAACGAGACTACTACTGCAGGCCATGTGCATCTACAGGCGTCAGATTTTTAAAAGCTAATTCCACTCTATCTCTAATTAGCATTAGAAAACGAGAGCGCCCATGCTTGCTGCACACTTCAGTAAGGGTTACACCTTTTTACTTAGCAGCAGGGGTCTCGAATCCATGAGAACACTGCCGCAATCCTGCCTTTCCTGGAGCGAGAGAAGCGGAACGCCGCAGTGAGCTGCTCCGGGTAGCAGGGAAGGAAAAGCTGCCCCCCTTTGGAATAAACGAGATGAGAGAGGAGGGAGCGAGAAAGACATCTTTGCGACACTCAGCACTTCTGATCAGAAAAGCTAACCCCAAACCAGTCATTTGTGGCGAGTGTGTGTGTGAGTGCGTTGTCCTCGCATTCCTCGGAAATGCTCCGGCACGGAAAGAGCATTCCGAAGCCGAAACACTGTGTTTGAGTTCAGACGAAGCTTGCAACCACATCTGGAAACATTATTCTTGGACGACAGGTCATTATGTGTCTTAAAAAACAGAGGGAGAAAGCCAAGAGGGAAAAGCAACACAACGAGAAAAACAATAATTGGAGCGACCAGACGAACAAGTGGCCACAACATCCTTTATGTGGAGGATGAATTCTTCAAAGCTGTCATCATCACAATAACTGAAATCAGACCTATGCCAAAGTCTTACAATGCCAGTATAAGAGAGTACTTTAAGGCATCTAAAGTGCAAATATTTCGTTCTGACTCGATAGTTAAAAGCGCAAAAACCCATAGAGTAGCCATGTTTCTGAGCAGCTGTCACTGTTTATAGGTCATCTGCCCCGTGTAGCTGTTAGCTTTCCGTTTGTGGATGGCTTAACCACTCTCTCATTCATTCTTTAACATCCCCAAACTATGATCCCTCAAAGACTACGAGCGTTCACGATGTACAGAAACGGACCAACATTAAACACGGCTTTGCTGATAGGATTTTTTCTCACACCCAAATAAACAGCAGAAGAGTGAATATGCATATTATAGGAATGTTATGCATATTATAATATGCATGTTATAGGAAAATAATCAACGACGGGGTGGTGGGATGCGGCCCAACACGATTTACTGGTACCACCCTGAAGTGGATTATTTTGCTATAACAACACATAGCGAAGTGTTTTTTTGGTCTTATACCACTTTTTAACATGTTTAAAAATGTACTAAACATTTTTATATGTTTATAAAATATATATTTACATTCCTTTACAGTTAGTTCCTGTAACAAATCACTGACACTAGAGACTCCTTCCAAAAAAAAATTTCACCACATTAACAATTACACGCTTTTTTTAAAAATCCGTTCATGTGGAGCGTCCACCATACCTGTGTAAGTTGTTACCATAGAAACGATAATGGTTTACACTATATTACATATTATGTATTATGTATTACGATAATGTATTATAGAAGATTATTGAACACCTTCTGACCAATCAGATTTGCTGTTTGCCATTTTAAAGTAGAATGTCTGGTCTTTTTGGTCAGTGGCTGAGTGGTTAGGGTTCTGGACTACTGATCAGAAGTTTGTGAGTTCGAATCTCATGTCCTCCATGCTTTTGCTGTTGGGCCCTTGAGCGACGCTGTTAACCCTTTGCTCGATCTGTCCATCTGCCAACTGTAATTTGCTTTGGAGAAATGAATAAACGGTACGTCTGTACATTGTATACAGCTATGGGTTGCAATCTCTTGACAATAGGACGGTTTATCTGATCCAGAGCCTAGAACTGAAACTCATAGGTCAGCGATTGTGTACAGAAATTTGTAAACTAGTTCTGAATGTATTGCTAGTGGCTCTGAAAGTAGGCGTGGCCAATGTGACAAAAACATCATCGTTTTGAGGACATTTCTGTGTATGATTGTATACTGTATAGGTTTGCCAACAAACAACCACTTTTAAAATGTCAGATTTCAAATTTTAATGTCTATAAAAATGCATGTATTAGTTCACGTGTATAAAATTAATAGTAAAAAGGAGGGAAAATTTTGAAAAAATAAATAAATGAAGTGTAATTTAAATTCAAATCATAAGAAAAAAAAATTTTTTTTTTTAAAGCGTAGTTTCAACTCAAATCAGAAGAAAAACGATTTTTTTTTAAGTGTTTGTCATTTTTTTTCAAATTGAAAGTTATTTGCGATAACCCATGATTTATCCGACGGTTGTATTATGCTGTGTTTACCGTGTCATTTTTCCAGATCACGATATTATATCATCATTACGACGGAAACGCAGTTTTGTGTGGAGCAGCCGTGCATTTGATATGCATTTCCCTGCGTATTAGTCAGCAGAAACGCGCAACGGTTCTTATCGCTCAGCTTTTCTGTGTGTTTGCCTAGAAACGCAGTCAGCTACAAACCGAGCCACCGCAAGCTTTCTGCTTGTGTTTGTCCTATTTTTTTTTTTTTTCATCATAACCACAATACTGCACCTCTCACAACACACACACACACGGTGCAGCTTGTGAGCTCTCAGCCCTGTGGTTTTGGGTTAAACTCGGTGTGAGAGGAGCGACTGGCTCGTGGGCCTCTGGTTCCATTTCTGCAGCGCTGGAGTTTCCATTAGCTCACGACCTGGGCGCAGCTTTCCGCCTCAGCGTGGATGGAGTGATGGCGTGATGGCATGATAGCGCCGGGCAGCGGTGACCTTCTGACCCCCTCTGAAACGAGCTCATCTCAGCTAGCTTCTGTAGGCGAGACGCCTACAGCAATGACACACACACTGTTAGTGTCAACAAAACTAAATGTCTCTCAGTCTTTCTGGAAATTTCTCCGATATTTAGTGCCGTGGAAAGTGCAGCGCTGGGGGAAGCAGCTGATTAGCCACGCCCAGATGTGTGTTGTCGCTTCAGCAGGAAGCTCATTCTGTCTTTCTCTCTTTCTCTGTCTTTATCTCTTCACACTGCCCTTCTTCTCACTTTTCCCTTATATGACTCTCACTTTCAGCCTTTCTCGTTCTTTCTCATTCTTGACATCTCTTTTATTTCCCTCCGTTTTTTCTTTTATCTCTCTCATTCCTTTCCTCTCCTTCTTCGCCTTTTCTCCCTCTCTTTCTCTCTTTATTAGTCTCTCTCTGTCCTTGCTCTTTCTAATTCTTTCCTTCTCACTCTTTGTCATTCTTAATCTCTCTTTTATTTCTCTTCTGTTTTCTCTCCATTTGTCCTCCCTTTTCTCTGTCCCTCTTTTTTAATCTTTTTCTCTGTTTGCCTTTCTTGCCTCTCTCTCTTTTATTCTTCTTCTCGTCCGCCCCCTCATTGATAGTCTCCCTCTCGCGCTTACTCTCTCTTTCTTTTGATATCGCTCTTGTTTCTCTCGTTTTTCTCACCTTCTTGATCTCACATGCTCTTTTTTATTCTTTCTCCCATTCTGTCTCCCATTTTATCTCTTGACACTGCTCTTCCCTTCTTCTCCCCTTGCCATTATTCCTTCTCTCTCAATCTTTCTCATTCTTTATCTTTCTTGACGTCTCTTTTATTTCTCTTCTGTTTCTCTTCTCTTTGTTATTTCTTTCTTCTTTTACTCTTCTCAGTCTCATTCTTTTCCTCTCTTTCTTTGTCTTTCTCTTATGGCTTCTTTCTCACCTCTCTCTCTTCCTCTCCTTCTTGTCCTCCTCTCTTTATTAGTCCCTCTGTCTTTTGTTTGTCTCTCTTCTTCTCACCTTACTGTTATTCCTTCTCTCTCCAACTCAGTATATCTAATCATTCTTAATTTGTCATTTATATCTCTCTCTTTTCTCTCCACTTCATCGTCCCTTCTCTCTCTCTCTTTTTATTTTTTCTCTTTGTCTTCTCCACTTTTCTATCTTCCTTTCTTTCTCATCCTTCCCTCTTTATTAGTCTCTTTCGTGCTCTTTTGACATCACTCTTGTTTCTTTCCTTTTCTCATCTTATCTCTCTTTTATTCTTTCCCTCTTTCTCCATCTGTATCTCTTGTTCCCTGCTCTTCCCTTCTTCTCACCTTTCCATTATTCCTTCTCTCACTCGCAGTCTTTCTTTCTTCTCTCACTCGCAGTCTTTCTCACTCTTTATCGTCTTCACATCTCTTTTACTTCTCTCTATTTTCCTCTCCTTCTCATCCTCCCCCTCTTTATTAGTCTCTCTCTCTTGCATTTGCTCCCTCTTTCTTTTGACGTCACTCCTGTTTTTCTCCTTTTCCTCACCTTCTCTACCCCTGACTCCCCTGTTTTTCTTTCGTTCTTTCTTGTCCTCTCTCACTTCTTTCCCTCTCTTTCTCTCAGACTCATTCTCATTTTCTCTTCTCTCTCATTCTCTCTCCACCTATCTTCATTTCCTAATGTCTCTTTTCTTCCATTTTTTCCTCCTTTCTTTCTCTCATTCTCTTTCTTATTTTTTTCCCATTTAATATTCTTCTTCACCCTCCACTTTCTATCACGCTCTTCTTTCTCTTTCACTCTCTGCATCATTCTTTTTTCTTTTTTCACCTCCTCTGACCCTGGATTCTGTTTAGCTCTCTCTCTCTCTCTCTCTCTCTCTCAGTTTCTCAGTGTCACTCTTTCATTCTCTCTCTTCACATCCTGTGTATTTATCTTTTTACGATATGTTCCACCGTTCTCTCGTCTCGCTCTCACTTTCTTTTTTAACATCTCTATTTTAGCTTTTCTTTCTCCTTTTCTCTCCATCTTCTCTTGCCCTCTCTCTCAATCTCTCTTTCATTTTCCTTTACTCTTTGTTTTTTGGTTTTGCTTCTTTTGCTCCTCCTCAGTCTCTCAAATTCTTTCTCTTTCTCTCTCACTGTCTTTCTCTCACCCTGTTTCCCTCTTTCTCTCTCTTTCTTTGACATTTCTCTTGTTTCTCTCCCTTTCCTCAGTGCATCTCTCCTTCTCTCTCGCTCTCTTCCATTTGCTGTTTTACCTTATCTTTCTCTCTTACATAGTTCCTTCTGTTCTCTCTTTTAGTCTCGCTCACAAGTCCTTTCTCATTCCCTTTTTCTTATAATCTCTCTCTTCTTGGACTGTCCCTTCTTCTGTCATTCCCATTTCCTCTTTCTTACGTTCTCTTTCTTTGGACATTTCCTCTCTCCGTTTTCCTTTTTGTCTCACCTTCTCTCTCTTACCTTTATGATCCTCTCTCTTTTCCTACCTCTAGTTCTCTTTCACTCTCTCTCTTTTATCACGCCCTCTTCTTTCTCTTTCTCAGATTTTTTTTTCTTTAATTTCCAACCTTCTCTCACTCTGTCACTCACGGCAAACTTTACTGTCAAGCTTCTGTGTGTGTGTGTGTGTGTATGTATATATACGGAGGCCAGGAACGTGATTGCTAGCGGAGCGGAGCCAAACAGCTCAATTCAGCAAGCGCACACAAGGAAGCAAACAAACACACACATGTGCGCGTGCTGAACACCTCACCATGTTGGCATGAAAATAAAAAGGAAAAATAAACACACTCTGTTCTCTGGGTTCTGCAGTGAAGCTGCTGCCTTTGATAAGTGAGTGCGAGGAGCGTTAGCATTGTGTAATCTCCTCATGCCTAATGCTGAAGAGCTGCACATTGTGTGTGTGTGTGTGTGTGTGTGTGTGTGTGTGTGTGTGTGTGTGTGCATACATGAGTCTGTCTGTGTGAAATATATATATATATATATATATATATATATATATATATATAGATAGATAGATAGATAGATAGATATATATATATATATATATATATATGTGTGTGTGTGTGTGTGTGTGTGTGTGTGTGTCCTGCTGCATGCTCACATGGAAAGTATGAAAGCATTGTTGTCTTGGTGTTTCATGAGACATTGTGCATATTTATACACGTGGGTGTATGACAGAGTGAGTGTGTGTTTTATTTCCTCTCTGTGTGGTGTAGTTGTCACTGCAGTAGTAACAACTTCATTTTGCTAGATGTCTGAAAGATAGTTGACTAATCGGCTTGTCGACTTGTCATTGTTTACCTTGTTACAGGCTAATAATTACGCTGCGAGAGGAGTTCTGTTAAAAAAAAAAAAAAAAAAAAAAAAAGTTGTAAAGCGGCAATAATTCGTGTAAAAGTAGACCAGGTTTAGTGACATTAGCAATAGACTAGCTAAAACAAGGCAACTTTGTATTGTGTCTGTGTTTATTTAACAAATTTACTAGTTAACTGGTGTCAGGATGCATAGTAGCTTAAAATGGCTACAGTCATTTGCAATTAATTCTGCATTCGACTATATCTTATAACTCATAACTCAAATCATTTCTGACCTCCGACTGGGGAAAAAAACAAAGAAAACGCGTCCTTAACTGGAAATTTCTACTCAGGAACATGGGATGATCTCAACTCCGAGTTTAGCAAGTGACGTCAAATCAACATGGCCGCTCAGAGCATGACCAGTAAACACAGTAGTACTTCTCTAAACTTTTTAATTGAGTTCTGCTGTATATACAAGTGATTTTTCTCCTCTTTTTAACTTCTAAACACCACCACGTCATCAATTAGTGTCGACTAGTGACTATATACACGACAGTGTGGTTAAAGTGGTGACCGGGTGATGGTAAACCAACACTATAACAAGGAAGGTCATTGTGTGTGTGTGTGTGTGTGTGTGTGTGTGTG